AACATCGTAAGTTGAAAATGCATTTAATACACTTAACCCACTGAACAGCAGAGCTTAGCCTGGCTACCTTAAACATAGCTCAGAACTCTTACATTAGCCTACTTTGGAAAAATCATCTAACAGAAAGCCTATTTTATAATAAAGTACTGAATACTTCATGTAATGTATTGAATACTGTACTGAAGCTGAAAAACAATGGTTGTATGGGAACAGAATGGTTTGAGTGTATCAGTTATTGACCCTCATGATCACGTGGTTGAATGTGAATCGTGGCTGCTGCCAGAGTATCACACTAGTGTTAATCTAGGAAAGATCGAAATGCAAACTTCCAAGTATGGTTTCTACTGAATGCTCTCACACGATCATGAAGTCAAAAAATCAGGGCACCTGGGTGGCTCAATTGGCCAAGCGTCCAACTCTTGATTGCAGGATCATGAGTTCAAAGCCCCGTGTTGGGCTCCATGTCGGGTGTGAAGCCTACTTAAAAAAAAAGAAGGGGCGCCTGGGTGGCGCAGTCGGTTAAGCGTCCGACTTCAGCCAGGTCACGATCTCGCGGTCCGTGAGTTCGAGCCCCGCGTCGGGCTCTGGGCTGATGGCTCAGAGCCTGGAGCCTGTTTCGGATTCTGTGTCTCCCTCTCTCTCTGCCCCTCCCCCGTTCATGCTCTGTCTCTATCTGTCCCAAAAATAATAAATAAACGTTAAAAAAAAAAAAAAAAGAAAAGAAAAAGGCCCTTGGCCCTCACTGTCCCAATGAAGTAAAAAAATCATTAGTTGAACAACCTAAGTTGGGGACTGTCTGTACTCACTCTCAGAAACTCAACCCCTCATGATCTCAAGCTTCTCGGGGGGAGGGTGGGGAAAGTAGGAACTCACTCCAGACTTCAGCAGTAATGGTGGGTCTAAAAAACGATTCACAGGATTGTCTGTGAAAACAAGTCTTGCAAAAGGTGGTGTATCTTTCTTTTACAACAGAATTGTGATTTAATAAGAATTTTTAAATCCTGCAGAAATACCCTATATACGGGGTCTGTTCACTAGTAAGACATTTTACTTCGGCACACATTTTGGTTTTAGGACGCTATCCACTCCATTTCTTTTTTAAGTAACCTCTACACCCAACGTGGGACTCAAACTCACAGCCCTGAGATCAAGAGTCACATGCTCTACTGACTGAGCCAGCCAGGTGCCCCAGACACAATCGACTTTAAACTGGTCCCGAGATTTAGAAAACACAATCTGTAATAGAAGTCCAATTATTACCATTATGCTGTGCTTAAGAAAAAACAGGGTTGTCAATGTTAGGGAAATAAAATCAGTGTCTGTAAACAGAGAACTTGTGAAACACCCAGCTTTAGCAGCAACATCTGCATAATTTAAGCATTTTCATATCAAGATTGCTTAATTATTTGGAAAACCATAAAGATTACTAACAATTATTAGGTTAATATAATGTAGAAAAACAACTAATGAGTATAGCAGGAGATGGTGAAAACAAGTGGACTTTTTTGCCAAATTTATAGATGGCATCAAAGTCAGAAATGCCCTTTAGATGGATAGTTCGCTGATATTGAATTCAAGTTTGAGGTGTTTGTGTTTCTCTTTGCTGTAGGTGGAATCTTTTTTGTTTGTTTGATTGTTTCCGTATATATAGAACACATGAGCAGGGAAGGGTCAGAGAGAGAGAGAAAATCCCAAGCAGGTTCCACACTATCAGCACGGAGCCTGATACAGGGCTCGAACACATGAACTGTGAGATCATGACCTGAGCTGAAACCAAGAGTCAGACGCTTAACCGCTTAACCAACTGTGAGCCACCAAGGAGCCTCTGCAGGTGAGCTCTTTTGGGCAGATCATTGTAAAATCTGTCCAACACCCAACTAGCAAAGTAGAACTCTTGGTAATGTTAACTCACTAGTTTTCATCAGTGTGATCTTTATACTTTTAGGAAATAAATATAATATACCACATTTCTCTTAAAAGATTTAAGTAAATAAAATAAACATGAGCCAATATAACATTTATTCTATATTAATAGTCAGTACATATATTAATTCAGGTTAAAACCTTTTTTCTACAGAGTATTTCTTTAATATTAGCATCTGATCCACAGTCCTATAGTACTAATTTTAATGAGAAATACAAAATGGAACTTTTACTTTCATAATAGCTCATCCACTTAACATTTTTACAGACAAAGAACTACTATAAATATGTAACATTATGCAGGCTTTTTTCTGCACCTGTTCACAAATCATAATGAATATAACTGTGTAACTATTTAGAAACTGAATGCTTTCAAACTGTCCCTGTATTTAGATGACCGCCTCCCCACACTGGGCAAATTAACCAGTGTCTCTTTATTCTCCCCTCTATGGCACTCATGGTGCTGCATTGCCTGTGGCTCTTTGCCCTAATCCCTGCCCCAGTTCCTGTGGTTGCTGTTGCCTGGCTTGAGCTCTTGGAGGGCTGGGAGCCCGTCTTCTTCACCAAACAGTGTTGGGCATATGTTATACCCAACACATGTTGAACCAAACTGAATTTAATCAGGACATCTAAATTTCATGGAGCTTCCTTCTGTTTAATTTTTGTAACTAAATAAGGATTGCAAGAACTTTTTTTCAAAAATGTATCATAAAATGTACTATTGATTGAATTCTGCACAATAAGAAACTTTGTTACAGGATGAAACATCATAGGAATTTGAACCTAAAGAACCTGAAACCATAAATGAGGACTTAAAAAAATTTTTTTTTCAGAAATGGCAGGCAGAAAAGTCAACCCCTGATGTATTGAGTATCAGATGAGATTAGAAAGACTTTACATATCTGAATAAAGTTGAGATTAAAAGGATCTTTCCAAACAATGGGGTTCTAAAGCCTAACAATTATTTTAAAAATTCTGCTGGAAACCCCCCACCCCCACAAATGAACTCATAACTATAAAAAATAAGGCAACTTGAAGTTAAACATTTACGAAGTTAACTCTGGATTGCATGCAAAAGCCAGATTTGACTGGTGCCCTCCCATGACTAATGGCCTTTAGCAGTAAGGCTTTTCACAGATACTCGTGAAATAAGATAATCTCTCAGAAATAAATCAGAGTTTCTTAGACTCCACTAAATAGTAGACCAATTAAGATCATCACAAACTTCGTGCTGTCAAATGCCTTGAAATTGCCTTGAAAGAAAATTATGCAGACAGCTTTTCTGAAGAACTCCATTTGTGCCACATGCTTATTATTCTTTGAGGTGGAGGAGGAGGCAGGGAACATAATTTCTGTTTGAAAGTTCTTTTGTTTTCTGCTACCTTCACTTAGATATTACCCAGTACTATTTTTATACCCTATAAAGTACTTTGAGAAAATGTTAAGTGAATAGTGCTAGAGAAAATAGAAGAGGGTTTTCATATTCACTGGGTTGTAAAGCGAAGTGAATAATACTGGACTCTTAGAAGGGGGAAGATAATGTGCCGAAAAAATTAACAAGCATCCAATAAACCAACCCACCTTGTAAAATCCTAAACTCAAAGACAAACTGAATCCCAACTAATTAATAAGTGTTCATTAAAAGCAGCATTTATACCACAGCACATTTAAGTGAAAATTAGTGTAGTGTCATTGAATTGCCTTTTAAATGATCATTTTAATCATGTCAAATGGATATGAATTGAATAGGAACCTACTTAAATTCATTTAATGTCTCGCATATAAGGTCGAATTGCTTAAAATAAACACTATTGAAATGAAACATATTTTATAAGAGACTTCCAAGTTATGTGACTCCTGCTTGTGTCTATAACAATACAGTTTGGATCACCTTAGAATTCCTTTTAATAGGATTTGGCCATGTGGCAGGTATATTTAGGTGGAGACCAATTAATTTCTGGATTCCTTTTTCAAACTGGAATCCTACTTATTTAACTCCCCAGATATTCTCAGTAGGAAAGATTAAGGAAAAACCACTTAAGATGAATGCAAGTGGAGTTACACATCTTACCACAGAAACAATCAATTATAATACATTCTAACCAAAAATATATATCAAACCATAGTGGGGGAAAAAAAAGGTAGAAACCTAGGACTAGAGAAAGTGCTATTTTAACAAAAATAATTACACATGTTTATCTTGTATCTGTTTTTAAAACTCCCAAATGCCTAAGCCTTTGGAAGGCTTATGCCTAAGCCTTCCAAAATATTTTCAATCACTGGTAAGTGCTGTGCTCTGTGCTCATTCATGAGAGATTACTAAAAAGTTTACAATGCAAGTATATTGGCTTGAGCCATTCTGGAAGTAAATGAAGACAGGATTCTTCGAAACAGTTAAAATGCACCAACTTTGATCAGGCGTTTAACAACTGTTCACTTTTAAATATGATCTGATATTTGCTGGTAGCCATCCAAGTCCATTAGCACCACAGAGAGTGGATGAAAAAGAGTAGTTTCAGGGAGAATGACTTAGCAGTCTTTTTTAAATGTTTAAAAATTGTACACTGGGGCGCCTGGGTGGCGCAGTCGGTTAAGCGTCCGACTTCAGCCAGGTCACGATCTCGCGGTCCGTGAGTTCGAGCCCCGCATCGGGCCCTGGGCTGATGGCTCGGAGCCTGGAGCCTGTTTCCGATTCTGTGTCTCCCTCTCTCTCTGCCCCTCCCCCGTTCATGCTCTGTCTCTCTCAGTCCCAAAAATAAATAAACGTTGAAAAAAAAATTAAAAAAAATAAAATAAAATAAAATAAAAATTGTACACTAAAAGAAATTCATTTCTTGGGTCATGTGTTTTGAAAATCCACGCTCACATTGCTAAATTGAAGGATTTTTGTGGGTTTCTGGTCCCAAAGTTATAGGCATGAAGGTAGGAAAGTCTGGGGGGATAATTTTGCACCTCAGGAAAGAACCTTGCTAATAATATCCATTATTTGGTTCAGTTCCAAAGTCAGATTAGGTTTTTCTGCCAGAGGTCTCAAGATGTACTCACAGCAAGAAACAAAGAAGGTTCTATAGATCAAATTAGCACATACTTTCTATACGTAATAATGCTGGAAGTCACCTAGATCATTTACAATCATCCAATGTACACTCTTTTCCCCAAGAACGTACAAATATTCTTTAACAAATACCTTACAACTCAAATGGAGAGCTCTTCATACTTCATCCACTTTCAGAGTAATGCCGCCACTTAGACATTGGGGGACTCTACAGTTTGAACCTTTACCTGTGAGGTAGGGAAGTGTATTGTAGTATTATGGCCATTTCACACAAGGAAAGATTGAAATGTAATTACTTTTTCAAAAAATATGGTAATTATTAATGAGATTGATGATTTAAATAACCGAATAAAATGCAAATAAGCCCTTATGGTTACATTAAGTTCATTTTTTTCTGTAAGGGATTAGCTGGACTGGAAATACTGATGAAAAAGTTATTTTTCAAAATCCATGTAAAATGTTTGTTACTGGTATCTCGACACAGAGGCACAATGAGAGAATACTGACATTTAAAATACAATGTGCTTTAGCAGTAACTTTTTACTTTTTCTATTCAACTATGTACTTGGCTCCTTCTTGGTCAAGAATGGACAATATTTTCACCAGGTTATTATGATTTCCTAGTACTTTCACTGCCAGGCAGGCTTTGAATTCACGTTCCCTCTTTGAGGAGAGGTTGATGAATACGGGCTCTAGAGAAGCAATCCTGCAAGATGAATCCTATGTTATCTGTGATAATTGGTTACTCGGGCAGTTTGCCTTCCCCTGGATGGAAAACAATGATCTCACTTTTTGTTGCTACTGTTGCTGTTGCTTAGCTTTTCAGGTTTTGTTTTTAAGCTTTTCAGTAGACGACCCCATGCAGAAATGGATTTATACAGGTCTGCTGGAGGCAGAAGATGGAGAGCGAAGATGCCCTGCCTGTTTCTACACCTTTGCACTTGGTAATTATTTGTCTGTCTGAAGTAAATTGTGAATGGCTTGTGTACAGTATTTAAGCAGGACTAGAAAAACACTCATGTTTAATTCAAATATGCACATTCTGCTGAAACTAAGAAAAGGCAATATTTTTTTGAGGTAAGACTACTGCCTATGAGTGTAACAACTATAAATCACACATTGACAAAAATAGCTCACCTTCTTCACCATTTTAAACATAAAAGTGCACTGTGGGGGGGGGGGAAGCTTTGAAAATCGAATGTGATGTTAACCTATACACAGGATCGAACTATCAAAAGGAAACCAGGCTTTGTGACATCAGAGAACAGTAAAGAGTTTATGTCATCCCATAAGTGCTCAATTAATACAGCTTCCTTCCCCCAAGTACCCCAATCTCCACATGTCATTTTCACACCTCCCTGTATGTCACTGTGCATTGCAATCTGTATGGGCTTCCTCTGATCCAGAAGTGACTACATCTCAGGGGGAGAAAGGGTTTTATAAACGTAATTCTTTAGCACTTCTGGATTGGAACTGTACCTTTAAATTCCACAGATGATAAATCCCTCATTTGTTACTGAAAAAGAAATGCCGCAAGTATGTAAAATAATTCAGCATTAAGCTTTTTTTTTCTTTTCCTCCCATGATTTGGAAATTAAGTCACTGCAGAAGATTGTTTATTTTATTATCATCAGAGGCCATTTCATTAATCAGCTGTTCTATAGACAACTGAATAGCATTCTTGACAAGAGAAGAAGCCGTTTCTTTTAAGAGTGTTTCGTATTGTTCTGAAGTTCTACCCTCAAAACCACTATCATTAGCAAAAACCCCTATTTGCTCGTTTTCAATTGAAATTAAGAATTGCTTAGGGACATTTTTAGATTTCTTAACATCAAATTCACTGATTTCAGTGTCTGTAATAATAATAGCAATTGGCTCCATTCTTTTGCTTTCTTCTGGTTTTGGTTTCTCTGCAGTGACCTCATTTCCTCTAAGCTCTGATTCCTGGCTCAGTTCAGTATCTTTTGGCTCACTCTCTTCAGCAACAATCTCTCCACTTTCGTGCTGTTTCCAATTTGGTCCACTTTCTAGGATATTGCTTTTGGCTTCTTCCACAATTTGCTGATCTGGGACTGCAGGTGAGGGAGGAACATCAGAAACCAAAGGGGGTTGCTGTTGTGTTTCTGAAGTTTCAAGTGGGCTTGCTTCCTGGGGTTGAACGCTTTGTTTTTCCTCAGTTGTTTCAGTATCTCGTTCAATGACTAGAGTTCCTGTGTGAATGGCAGAATGCCCCGTGTCTAACCCAAGTTCTACTGCAATCACTTTTTCCCCAGGTGCCATTGTGCTGTGGCTCCCGTTTGGCTCACAGACCTCATCGCCCCCTTTCTGTGAGACAGCTTTACTCACATCCTGGGGCAACTTGGGCGTGGTTGCCTGCTCGTCGGATTGGGTCGGAGCTTCCGTATCCAAACGTTCAGCCTCTCCCTGGACTCTGAGGCTGCAGTCGGAGTCTTCTATAATTTTGGAATGATTACTTCTTTTCTCTCCTTTTGAGAATTTTATGCAGGGAATCTTGAGTCTGGATTTTGCCTTTTTCCTAGAAAGATCAGCATCCTCGGCACTGATTTCAGGTTGCACTTTAGCCTCAAAGGGCTTTTGCTGCTTTGAAGCTTCTGACCTTTTCCTGTGTGTTACAAGACGTTTGATTGACGCCCAGGCCCCCACTGGGGCCTGGGGCTGATCAGAAGCTCCCGCCTCTGGGGGACCCGTTCTTGCTGCACCAGCAGCTTTAGAGCTAGCTTTGGGCTTCATCTCTTTGGCTGCTTTCTTTCTTCTCTTGAAGCAAAGCACTGATGCTTTTTCCTCCTGCCGCTCGTCTTGAGGACTGACTTCTGTTGGTCTCTTCTCATCCTTGCTTTCGACTTGAATTTCAGAAACTGTGGCTTCCATTTTTACATTACACTCGTTCTTTCTCTAGAAAACTATATTCTTTCTTCCTTAGCGGCCTTTATGACCAAAAAGTGGGCAAAAATACCATACTAAATAAAATTTCTTCCAGATGTATTCACTCGTTTTGTCTTACTCCAGTTATTTTAGGTGGCTTCTCCAGTGTACAACTCCTAGTTTCTCTATTACTTGTAATTTCCTCTCTTTAATTTCTTCATGAAAGCCCTTTACGGGATAGATTTTTATTTTATTTAAGGATCAACCTGATGAGAGAAAAGAGAGTGGCGTTTTATTTCACCATCAGCCTATTGCTTTCTAGGAAAACAATTTCCTAGATTTCCGTCCAACATATATGATTCTACCAGGCACGTTTCTCACAGAATAACTTACTGAAATAACTGGAGAATTAAAATATCAAAAAGATTTCCATGTGAATCTATTTTCTACTCTCTTTCTTCAACGTTTATTTATTTTTGGGACAGAGAGAGACAGAGCATGAATGGGGGAGGGGCAGAGAGAGAGGGAGACACAGAATCGGAAACAGGCTCCAGGCCATCAGCCCAGAGCCTGACGCGGGGCTCGAACTCACGGACCGTGAGATCGTGACCTGGCTGAAGTCAGACGCTTAACCGACTGCGCCACCCAGGCGCCCGTCTACTCTCTTTCTTAAAACTTCATCTTGGATTATTTGCAAATCTGATATCAATTCTTTCATTGCACTGTCTTTACGAATGTTTATGACTCAATTCCAAGTTAACAAAACAAACATTAACAAAACAATGAAAGGCAAGGTGATAAGCAAGCTAGGGTAATTTTTATTACATGCAGTAAAGAATTCTGCAGCTGCAAAGGATCTTAGAGATTTTTCAAGCCCAGCCAGATGAAGAAATCGAGCTCCAGAGTGGGTGGTTGGACTGCTGAAAGCCATACAGTCAGACAAGGTCAGGGCCAGAGTTAGAACTGAAGACTTTGCCTCTCCAATGTTCTTTCCATTCTACCATAAGGTTTCTGTTCTAAAAATGTATGTTCTGTCAGGGAGGTGCTACTTTTCATACATACTTTCAGGAAGTTTAACATCACTGTCATTCACCACTCTTAAATGTAGTTGTATGATTTTGACATTTTTTCCCCTAAGTATCTACTGTTCAAAAGTTTTCCATAATGAGCACATAGCCAAAGGTCAGTAAGAGTGAATGATAATAATCACTAACATTTATTGAGCAGCATCTGTGCCTTAGGAAAGGCTAAGCACGTTTACATACATCTCTAATCTTCCCCACAACATTACGAAGTGAGTAGGTGCTGGTATCACTATCTGCAGAGGAAGAAACTGAGGCACAGAGTTAAGCAACTTGACCAAGATTCCACAGCTAGTAGGTAATCTTTGGTTGAATCCAAGCTCTGAAAGTGCACAATAGAGTTTTATCAGGAAAATTAATTATTTGGAGATACTAATCTGCACTAGATTCACTAGTCAAAAACGTTTTCATTGCTTAAATTTAACTTATGGTTATTTAACCATAAGACAGCCCATGAACTCATAATTGAACGAAGACTAGACTGGGTTCGTGTTATTTTAAAATCAAGCTTCTGAAATTCCTTATATTTTGTTTTCTTGGTTCTGGAACTAATTAAGGAGCCAAAGATAATCGCTAAGCTATGTGATTGGCAAACTGATTGGTTACATATAAATATAAAATTAATCCACAGAATAGCATGACCAACGAACAAAGATGTGAGGGGATGATCTCAACAAAAGTTGTACCAATTTTTGTTGATCGAAGTCCTAAAATAAGCAAGGGGACTCTTTCCTTGTACTATTTTTATGTAAATCCTTCAGCGTTGTAGGTTTATTTGGGCAGCTCTTGATTCTATGAACCACAAGAGGAACTGGAACTCTGCAAATCAGTTTATGATCTAAGTATTCCCTTAGGTTGGAGTTCCATACTCGATGCCCCTGATGAAAGGACAAGATCATCCCAGAACAGCGCGGGAACTAAAATATGAACATTGTAGGTGTCCCTCCTCATATGATGCTTCCATACGCTCCAGAATCACAGCTGATTATAGCTCTCTCTTTAAGTCTTCTCCTGTCTCGCAGTTCTCAGCACCTGAGTGTTTACCAGCCAGAGAATGCATAACTAATAGAAATATTGAAATTAGACCATGTTTAAGACTGTAGGATTTGAAATTGCCCTGGATTGCCCAAAGGCAACTGCCTGAGAAGCTCACTTGAATGGATATCGCAGTAGAAATAAATTCCCCAAAAACCTAACCGAAACGGGGAAAATACAATCTGAAGACCTTAAAACTTTGAAGAGTGTTAGTCTGCAGATGATTCCTCCTTAGCCAGCAGGGTACTCTTACCGCCACAGCAATCTTAAAGTCCCTGTTGTCATTTCCTGACCGAGTCTCATGTCTAACGCCCCTTTCCCCCTTGAGCAGAGAAACCCGGAGGAAAAGAGCGAGCCTCTGCGAGGAAAGCTGCGAATCTCTCCCAGGGCCGGATGCGGACCACCAAGCAGCCTCCGGAGGAAGGCGGCTCGTTCGGCTGGACGCGCCTGGTGGCAGGTGCTGGAGCGCACGATAAAGAACTCAAAAAGGAAAGTGCCGGGGGCGTGGAACAGATAGCCCAGCTTCAGGCTGTCTGCACAAACAGAATGGCCAGGGGCCCCAAATCACATTCCTCTCAAATGAGGGTAAGGAAGGGTAAGAGCGGTCCCCGCAACCCCTGCTGCCAGGACGAGCTGTAACGCGGGGAGGGCAGGTGGGCACAGCTGACCAGGGTGGCCGCTGGCTGGAGATGCGGGCGGACGGACGACCCTCCCGGTTCTTATCCCGGCCACCTCGGGGGCCCCGGTTGTGGGCGCCCACCCCGCCGCGCGGGCGGCCAGAGGACCTGACCCTGGCCCAGACCCCCTTCCCTGCCACCCCCTCGCCGTCCCTCACTTACCGAGGGTGCGGGGGTCCCCGGCGACCCTGCTGCCGAGGTCAGGGTGCGGCTCGCGGGGCCGGGCGCCCAGGAGGCCGGGAAGCCTCGGTCGTACCCGCAGTGAACAACCCTCTGCAGTGGGACCGCAGCCCGCGGCGCCCCCTCCCCAGAGAGGGGGGAGCAACAGCCTGCGGCTCCAATGCGCGCCGGGAGGGCGGGCGGGCGGGCGCGGGGCGGGGCCAGGGCGGGCGGGGGCGGGGGCGCGGCCTGCGAGAGGCTCCCCCCCCGCCGCGTGGGAGCGCACCCGGCGCTTCGAGCCCCCGCGCGAGTTCCCGCCGCGCGACCCCGTCCGGCCCGGGGCGGGGGACCACCCGCAGATGGGGTGGGGACAGGGGGAATGAGCCCCGCACCTCCTGAGATGCAAAGTAGCAAAATCTGGCTTTAAATTATGGGCACTGCCATCGAAGCCCCCTCGACACACCAAATATTTAAAGACACAGCAGATACATTTTGAAAGGATTCAAAACTGTGCACGGTGAGAGCTCGTTTGGAGAGAAAATTACGTATATGAATTGAGACAAAAAAAAAAAACCACAACAGAACAAAACACACACACACACACACACACACACACACACACACACACACAAACCAGCTATCCTAGGAGTGGCTTTGGGTGCAACGGTGTTATTATGGTTCATTGCCAAACGGACTCTGAGGCCCAAGACCTAGACAGACCCTAATCTCCCTAGTCTAGGGGGCCAGGTGGAGGTGATACAATCTGTGTGCGGAGGAGGTCAGGGCACAGGAACCCGGCCCCATCCATCTTTTATACCTTACGTATTCACAATGTCTGCTTAATCTTGTCCCTCTCGATTAAGCGGGAGTGAGGATCAGGAGATTGCTTTCCTCACGATTCCAGTCCCAATCAGAGCAAAGGGCACAGGCAACATCTACCCTCCTTCCTGACTGGATGGCTAGGTTGTGTATTTTTATACGTTTTCTGGGTCTTTGTCTAAACCGGTTACTAGTGTAGTGAAACCGCAAGCATTTATTTGTACACTTAGCGCATCGGTTTCATTAACCAATGAGGTGATGCTGTGAGGGCTTAGGTGTGAGGGCTTCAGGATTACCAGTACCTACCCAGGCATTCCTGGGAGTTCCAGCAGTGAGGTCCTCCCGGGGTTACAGTTCTGGGCTCCTCAGGGGCCCTCCCCGGGACACCGTCCAGATGAAGAACCTGTTCAGGCGGAGCAAAGAATTACCAAACAGCGCTTGTACTTACTACCTCCATTCTTTGACAGGATTCTGATCTTCACGGAAATAAATCTGGTGTCTGCTTTTGGATGTTTTTCCAGAAATACGTTTTACCTTTGTGAGATTCTGTAGCTGTCACTGAGACATAAGAAAGAAACACGAGGACCCAACAGCAAAGCCGAATCTAAGTTGTCGGGGTCTTAAACTTACAGGTAAAGTTAGAGATGAAAGCTGTAAAACAGGAAAATCCATTAGCATCTACTTTAGTGGTAATTAGGAATTCAGTTTATCTTTGTGCAGACAGCCACACCAGCCTGTGAAAATGCCGTTTATATTCCCAGATGGGTTGTTAACCTTGCTGACACTTTTGAACTTTAAACAAGCCAAAAGAAATCCATGGCACTCATAAACAACTGAGATGCTATTACTCATTGAGATCCAAATTTCCCCAAATCTACTAGACATAGGCATTTACAACAATTTCAGGCAAAAATAAGATGAGCTTATCCAGATGAAGACAGGTAGGAGAGCTGTCTTATTAGGCAGGAGTTGGAAATAAAACAAGGGACAGGTTAAAAACAACAAAATCCACTTTAATGACTTGTAGATCTTTTATCACTTACTTTTCTTGAAAAAAAAAAAAAAGACTAGTGGAAGGGAACTGGTAAAAGGTTGAGGTAAATTGATTTTGTATTTGAAGGGAAGATTTCTTTAAGGTATATTTCAAATAACTCATCCCCAACCTGTACCACATGTGCGCGTGCACACACACACACACACACACACAAAGAATATAGTACTATAAATAAAATACTGCACTGTGATTTTTCTTTAGGATAGGACTACAAACTGATGCCATATCTGAATTTTAAGAAAAGTATTCAGTACTTCATGCATGAAAGAAACCCGTCATCCCTGAACTCACTTAAGTGACAGTAAGATATTACCCATATCGTTGTCTGCTACTCCATTAGTAGCTTTTCATTATATGAGAAACAGGCTATAAATAGATTTCTCCAATCTGATGAGAAATTATCCTTCCTACAGCTTATCTTGTCAATATCACCAGCCATAGCGTGCCAATAGCATAGTTTGCTTGTTTATCTGAACTCCTCTTTACCTGATCTCAACTGGTCCTACCGTTTCTCCCATTCTGGCCCTCATCCCCCGGGCCTGGGCCTGTAGCTACCAAAAATGGCTTAGAACTCCTTAGCAGTAATTCTTACATACATTTGAGAGACCTTCTGGGAATCAGCCCACCACCCTCTTCCCTGGTACACCATTAAACGAACTTGTGGCTCGTGTTCTCTGGTACTTTTATCTGTTTCGGGGCACCGTCCGGTTGTACCAGTGAACACAAACTCAACGGGAGTTCTGTTGTAATCTGCTTTACTTGACAGTACATGCGTGCTGCCTCTTCTGAATGGAGTGTCACTACGAACATCTTCAGTGCATGGCGACAGCCTCTGAAGTACAGAATAGAGAAGGTCCGCTCTGTTCATCAGTAACATTACAAATAGGGGGAGGGAAAGCATCAGTGGCCCGGAAACGGGTTAAGAACAGGGGAGGCCAGTGATCTGGAAGGGCTCCTCGCTCCAAGGTAAGGACACTGGACTTTGTCTGGCAACATATAATATGTACTCCGAGCACTAATGCTTCTGCAGGTCTTGAATTTAGGTCCTTCAATTAGCCTGCAGTTATTTATTTATTTATTTATTTATTTATTTATTTATTTGCCTCGGTGCTCTTTACCCTTAAAAAAAAAACTTTTTAAGTAATCTCTACTCCCAGTGTGGGGCTCAAACTCACGGCCCCGAGACCAAGAGTCACATGCTCCACTAACCGAACCAGCCCGGTGCCCCTCTTCATCACACTTCTTAACCACAGATCGAAGAATCAGTTTCACAAAACCCATGCTATCAATTGCTCCGTAGCCTTCCCAACCTCTTTATTTCTTCCCTCTGCTTCTTCCACCTTTCACTTCCTTCAAGAGGGAAGTGAAATGGACACAGCTTTCCACCTGTCACAAATGGGAAGTCTGCTTCTGTACCACGTGGCAGGGGCTGCCTTCCGGGAACAGCTCTGACGGGCAGAGTAAGTTAGGAGCAGAGGCTTTAGCATCAGAGGACTTAAAAAGTCCATCTGGCAGGCAGCAAGTAGTGCAATTTTGAAGTCTGCCTTCCTGCAAAATGGAGATACAAACCTAATTTACAAATTTGTTCTGTTATCATTTCTCTTGACACATTTCTAGCCAAAGGTCAGCTCCCATTTTGAAGCTAGAGATCACTTTTGAGCAATTCCATTACTAACAATTTACCCAACACATGCTTCTACACAGACTGCACAGATGCGTAAGAGAATATTCGCTGCTCTCATTTGTAACAGCAATAACCATGAAACGATGGTAAGTGTCCCTCGATAGGGGACTGCTGAAATACTACACAGCTGTAAAAAACAAGGTGTGTCTCCAGCTGCTGACATAGTAAGATCTCCAAGATATACTGCCAGGTGGAAAAAGCAAGTGGTACCATTTGAATTTTTATTGAAGACATTTTACTCCTCCTTAGGAAAATTCTTGCATTTGTGACAGTCCATTCATTCTAAGCAGTATGGACTACTTATTATATTAGGGGTTTGTTTACTATCTTTGGCTTATACACCCTCCACTCACCTTCTCCCACCAATCGTGTTCACTATTCCTATCAATATTAAGGATATAAACCCACCTGGCTTTTGGTGATGAGGAAGGCTAAATCCTTTAAGATGATCTTTGAGTCACCACGTCTAACAATACCTTTCTTCCCTTATTTACAAAATTTATTCCCGGCAAGTCCCATTCCAGATGACGTCTCATAGGACGTTAAAAAACCCATCAAAAACAGTGAACTCTGTGCAGACGGGGCCCAAATGATGCTTTGGAACAGAAACTGACACCATCGTTGTGAACAATGTGCCAGGCACTATACAAAGCATGGTGAAGCTTGGGCTCCGCACTCATGATCCCTTTACCATATGCCTCCGAAGCACTGCCATCAATTCTTTGGATGGCAAAACTGCATGACAACACCGACGTGAACCCAGGGAATTAAATGTAATAAAACCAAGGACACCAGGACAAATATTGCTCTGCCAATGCCAGCAGTGTTTACATCAGCATCAATGGTGATGTAACACCTCCTGGAAGGATCCAACGCAGGAAGATAAGGGAGAAGAGGGAGGAAAAAACAGGAGAGGAAGAACAAAGATAAGAAGAGGAGGGAAAACATTTCAGGGAAAAAAACATTCCGGAGGGAGGGGTAGAGCCCAGGGCACATGGTACAAGCCCAATCAACATTTGCTGAACCAACAGAGCAGACAGGATGGACCTGTAGTTAGTGCTTCATGACCGTCCTTCCTGATGACTTAAAAAAATAAATGGTGCTAAAGCTGTGCCAGAAATGGGACCTCCAAGGAAGTTCAGCACAAAAACCTGGATAAGTGTGACTTTCTCAGGTCTGTTTTAAAGGAACAATATAGAAAGGTACGTGATTAAAAAGGCACATTCTCTATACCCTACTTCCCCCTCAACCCTCTCAGGAGGGATCCCGATTGTGTCCCCCCCAAGAACTCTGCGTGCATGTGCCATTTACCCCTTTGAACACAACAGTGTCGATAAAGAAGGTCTTGCAACTTGCTTCTTCAGTCCCGGGTGCCTGCTGGCAAAGGGGCTCCCGCAGGACGGCAGTGATACTGCAGCACAGTCTGTTAAGGCTAGAATTTATATTTAAACATCCAGATTGCAAAATCATTTCCTTTTATTCTGTGGAACTTCAATCAAGTAAGTTGACTTGTGCATGATTTATGTTAATTTATACATGGTGGTGGGAACTAAGACTGAAGAAAGGCTCCTGGGGAAACTTCTGCTCTTTCTTTCAGAAGATCTTCAGGGCAGGGGCTGACTCCTCTCCACCTTCCCCACACTTCCTAACCAACAGTCGGCCCGAATAGACACTGGCCAAATGTTCAGAGCGGCTTCTTGAAGAGGGGAAATCTAGAAGGAAAAGGACAGGAGAAGTAAACGTTCCTCTACGAGCTGAAACACACCCCCACCCTCACCCTGCAGCATCCTCCTTTTGCTCTGCCAAAGCTGTTAACACTTCCATCCTTCCCACAACCAACTCCAGGAGGGCAGGGTTTGCCCACGGACCTGAACACAATGCGTGCCACTCTTCCACTATGGCTACGTGAACACTGTTCGGGCCGGGAGTGAGCCAGGGGGACACCTCCAGTGTCACAAAAGCCCCCCAGGCATGGAGCACACCGTCTCTGCTCCCTCTGCAGGGACTTGTGTAAGCACCCATCCTTGCAGCTGCTGGGAAGAGGACTATACTTTGCCATCAGCCGGACCTTTACTTTCTTTAACAACCTGAGAGTCTTCGTTCTGCATTATTACCCTCTGACACCCTTGTCTTCAATGGCTCCTTCTAGTTAGTGTTGCTTTTTAATTCCTAGACTTGTAACTCTAGGTCACTTGCAGCTGTCAGGATTCCCCTTCGTAACTGCCCCGACCAGGACTCGGGTTTCCTGAAAACCAGGTCTTCCCTTTTCTTAGTTTATTCCCCGTTTTGCTGGAGGACACTGCTAAATACCTTCCTAGGAAGGGAGGTGGGGTGGCACAGCTGGACGTGTCTGAAAACATCTGGATACATTTGGTGGGGTGTTAAGCACAGGTGGGGAGTCAGCTTTCCCCGTGAACTTGGGAGTCTATTCTTCCACTGTCGAAAAGTCCCTTACTGCTGATAAGAAGACAAGTCTTCAGTCTGATTCCTATTTTCTCATAGACAAACCACTTTTTCTTTTCTGGAAAAGGCCTTTTAGGATTACATCTTTGATGTTTTTGAAATTTCAACTAGATGTATCTAGGGAAGGCTCATTCATTGTGACGAGTTCTTGGGAGCCTTTCACTTAAGACCCCATGAAGTCCTAGACTCTTTCCTCTTCTTTTCTACATTCTGGAACATTTACTCAACTCCTGCCCACCATCTACTCAGAGTACACAGACCCCTACTGGCACCTGCCTTCCAGGGTGCCAACAACTCAGAACGCAGCCTCCGCGCCAGTCCCTCCAGAGTTCACGAGACGGTGGCTTTCTCCCCTACACTGCCCCTGAACAAGCCACGCTCTTCTTCCAAAAATGTGTTGAGATATTTCCTTCATTGGTCACTGCAACTCTCCCCTCAGTGATGTTTGGAAAGAGAAGTTCTGAAAGTATCACAACTGGCATTTTCAGAGCGTTAGCTTGAGTCCCATAATTCATAACTGTGCCTTGTAAGGAAAAAAAAGCAAAACTCTCACAGTTAACAACTCACCTGTTTAGAACAACCCATTCACCTGTTCAGTTTCAGGGTCCAAATCAATATCATAGAAACAGGGCCGGGTGGGGAGTCCAGGCATTGTGCTCATCTAGGAGATGTGAAATAGCAGTAAAAATAAAGTGATCTTCGTTTCCACCTTCCCTTCAGATAAAAAGCCCAAGGCACAAAAACAGAATATTATTTTACAGTTGTCAATAAAGGGGCACTCTTCTTGTTACACACCAAGTCACCGATCCTGTTATGGCCTCACAGAGAGACCAGCGAGTCTTCAGCAAGCCAACACTGGGCTTCACTACCATCTTCCACATTGACCACTGCAACAAGAAGTAGCAAGGAAGGCCTTCCACCTACATTCTCTAAGGCAGGTGTGGGGATGCTGAGGAGTCTCCTCCCCCCTCCTCAGCCCTCATAAGACCAAAGGGAGGTGCAGGGTTTGTCTGCCTTTTAATTTTGTTTTAATTTGTTTTAATAAGTCTGGGGTTGGGGTGCCTGGGTGGCTTGGTCGGTGGAGCATCCGACTTTGGCTCAGGTCATGAACTCGCGGTTCATGGGTTCGAGCCCCATATCAGGCTCTGTGCTGACAGCTTGGGAGCCTGGAGCCTGCTTCGGATTCTGTGTCTCCCTCTCTCTCTGCCCCTCCCCTGCTCATGCTCTGTCTCTGTCTCAAAAATAAATATAAACATTAAAAAAAAAAAAAAAAGTCTTGTGTTGATGCCCGTATCATTCTGCTTCAGCAACACATTAGGAATTAGTATCCGTTAACTTGGGCCAAGACATTTCTGTACAAAATCGAAATAGTTTTACAATCACTGTTCTTAGGGGTCCAGTTTGGCCTTCTAAAACTGAGCTTGTAATGCCTATGGATTATATTTGTACTTCCTTCTTTTCTAAAGACCTGGCTTTGACAAAAATCTACCTAGCGACAAATCCTTAAGGCTTGTAAGTTAACTTTCACCTGTAACAGTATCTTGTATAAGGAATATGTACAAGTTCCCAATCAGATCCAGACAGGAAAAGAGTTTAAGCTGAACTTCCACAACTTAACGATAACTTCCCAGAACATTCTCTAGGGACCTGCTATCAGTCTCTATTCTGGAACTCTGTAAGCAACTGGTGGGTGTGTGGACAAGAAGGGGGAAGGAAGGGATTGGTCCTCAGACCTAGCAGAAAAGCCTGGAGGTGACGGTGAAGATGACGGGCTTGTGCCCATTGATGCAGACATGCTACTGGCAAACTCAGGCCGGACCTGTCAGTTTTGCCTTCCCCTCGATGGCCAACCCCCTGCACGCACATCAAAAGCAAGTGCCCAGTGCAGCTCCTCCTATTCCAGCTGGCGGCTGCTGACAGTGTCTCCAGAGAGAACAACACCCAT